GCGCTTGGTGATGTGAGAGCCTGGTCCGGTGAGAACCCGGCGTGCTCCGTCCCGGCTTTGTACGGATGGGAGGTTAATGGTCTAACGACTACGGCACGCACGACTATGTACCCCTTCCAACCCCTCTTGTGTCCACAGACCTGAGGGGGCAGCCGCGAATTATGTAGATCGCCAGAATTGACGCAAAGTTGAGCTGGAAGTACAGCGGGAACAGCTTCGACTGGCACAGAGGGAGGAAACGAGAGACGATGGCTCAGATGGCATACATTGCGTGTGTTGTTCACGTCCCAGCACGCGACACCGTAATATTAGGCGAGCCGCTGAGTGTTTCAATCGAAAACCGGCAACTTTTCATCTTCGTTCAGACCTGCAGCTGTTAAGCAACTTGACGCAGCTTCAGAATCACCTGCAGCTTCCCGAAGGTCTGGCGTGGGAGATTCCGGAACATGGTGATTCCCGCAAAGAAGGTTGTCCACAGCGTTGATCCCATCCACGCGTTCAACGCAACCACGTGAACCATCTGTGGTGGCCGGTTATGAAGGGGACATGCGCCGACTTTGCTTTCAAAAGCTGTGTCACATTTCATGTTCTCGTTGTCCCATTTGGTATCTTCGATAGCCGATTATTCCTCCCCCTTGAACGATGGCCTTCTCGTGGAAGAGGCTGGGGACACGCATCAAAATTCCCCCCATGATGCAATCCAGCGCAATTTAATGAGTGATGCCTTACAAACCAGTGAAGTTTATCTTGCGAGTCTTAGCTGAGCCTGAATCAAGTATCTGGCTAGGCTGCCGCCGTTTGCTATTTACACGACTGTACAGGGATATGTGAGAGTAGTAAACAAGATCGTCAATCGGTTTACACGTATCCGAGTGCGATGCTTGCAGCAGCACGGCGAACAGTGAAATGGGTTGGTCACATACATGCACAGGACAACAGCACGAGCACAGGTTCACCTTGGCCAGATTCCCGGGTACGAGCATAGCGCCTTTCGAGGCAAGGCCGGCGGCGGTCAGAATGGCTGCAACTCGCACAGGATTCTTGTTGTGGATAGCCGGCTGGATGAAGGCCTGCTGCGCCGATGGATCCCACTTACTCAAGCTTTGCACGCCGCTGGGGCCCGCTTCTGGCTTTACCTCCATCGCAGTCACCTGGCAGTGGAGAATATTTACGCTGTCAACACGGCTTCATAAAGTTTTCGCTCGTAGACGCCGCCAACTTGCGTGCATACCGCCACGGTTCACCACCATCGTATTCAAAAGAGTCAGTAAAGAAACATAGGCGTTCTACCACGCTGATACAATCCCTTGCAGAAAGAACTTTGAACAACTCGATCAAAACATCATGATGTGATAAATTTACTCCGCTCCCCGAAAGGGACAAACAACAAAAATTCCCACGGAAAAAAACTTTTCCCCTATTTCCCACCTTATCCCTCCCTCCTAATCCTCCCTCACTCTCGGCCATGAATTGAATATGCCGGCAATGAACGAACACATCAGGCTCTGTATGCCTTCTACACCAACAAGCAGGAGTATTTATTATTATTACTTAGGAGTCGATGCTGATCCACAGGGTCCCCGGAGGCCATGTGGACGAAATAGAAACCACGGACGACATGACGAGCGCGGTTCTTCTTTCTTCGATATCTCGCCCATGTCGGTCGTTGCAACATGTACTTCGTAGTATATAGCAGTGGTAAAAATAGAGAGGAAGTTGAGTCACTCCTCTTCTGTGCAAGATGTTGTTCGACAAGAGCCCGTGAACGTGAAAACAAAGTACACGCACCGACACGGACACTTGTTTAAGTGTCCATCATATGTACGTGTCCATCAACGAGCCGCGCTTCTCAAGGATTTAACGAAATTTTGACCTAAAGCAGGGGTGGGTGCAGAACGCTCACGCGCAGCAGAAGCGCATGTCCTCCCACAACTCCTTCCCTCGCGATTTCGGTCATGTATCGATCGCAGTTTGGTGAATTCGCCGGTGACTGAAGTTAATGAGGATGACTCCGTTGCATTGATATTTCTGCCAGCAACCTTGCATGGGCAAGTGGGGTAAACGTTGTTTCCCTGTTTAGGTGCACCCGTTGAGCAAGCAGTAGGCCGACGAGGCGTATACATGCCAGAGCTGGCGAGCGCGAAGCGCGCTCCAGTAGCTCGGTACAGTGACCTAGGCTTACCCGCTGCACAATAACCTAGCTTGGGGTGTGGGCTAGGGTTAAGGTTTACGGGTGGGTTAGGCCTAGTTAGGCCTATCGCTGTGGTGTAGCCTGAGGGCTGGAAAGCTTTGGTTTCGTGTCTGCCTCTGACCACAACCCAAACAATGTTGAACTGGCGAGTGGAAGACAGTCGACAGCTTAGGTGTATGCATACATACTCGCGTCCGCAGTTGGCCGACATGGTGCATGTGTACCGGCACTGCATGGTTCATCTTTCGACAGCTTTGGCGTATGCACAATATATGGGCGTCCGCAGTAGGCCGACCTATGGTGCGTACCAGCACCGCAGGTTCATGTTGGACACTTCGAGTGTGAGGATAACTCATTCAAAAGAGCGCGAGGTAGGTGACACACTCAACCCCATATAACAATATCTGTAAGCTATCCCAAAACCATAAACCACATGAAGACCCCCCGCCGATCTTGTCTGATTATTTTCAAAGGACTTGCTTCGAATCAGTGTATCCGGTCTGCTGCTGTGTGCCCTTGAGGCAAGAAATATATTTCAAACAAACATGCAGAAGGCATCAGTCCACCGCTACATTTCGCCACAACTCAGGATATTTACGGAAACATCTCTTTCCTCACCATTCGTCTAATGCCCCCAGGTGCTACAGCAGCTCGACGTGGAACGCGCATGGGACAGAAGGCATATGTTGAACCTCCCAGGAAAGACCCTGCCGAAATGAGCAACAGCAATCTCATTTTTGAGAAGACTTCTCCAGAGAGTGACAGCCCCCACTCCGTTTAGAAGCTTTCCTAAAGAACGATCCTTTCCCCTTCCTGTCAGCAATGTCCTCGTAAAATCGGTGTTTCCTTGCCAGCACCGATATCCTTCCTGGCATCATACGGCAGTCCTGAGCTGGCGCCCGGATGCGGCGGAACAAGAGAACCTGAGCGGGAACAAAATTCTCCTTGAACCACAAGCGTTGCAGTACCAGGTACCAGGGCCGCAGGTAACAAAGCCTAGCGTGGTGCCTGGTGCCACGGCTGTCATCGTTGTTTACTCATCGTTGTTTACTGCCTGTGGGTGGGGGGAGGCATACAACAGGAGATAGATAGTATCAAAGATGCGGTGCTCCGTGCTTTTAGCGTGTGTCGCGCTGACACCAGGCGTAGCGTTCAACCCAAATAATCAAGCGCGGTTGCGCATGCAGCAGGGCTTTGGAAAGCAATCACGGAGCAACACTCCAGCAAAGCTCAAGACGCCAGCAAAGGCACCATACCCGGCCGTTCCGAAACAGACCCCTGTTAGAGCAGGAGAACTGCCGGAGGATGCCTTCTCGCAGTTTCCGCCTTTGACCCCGGAGCAGAAGCAAACCCTCCAGAAAGCTCCAGCGGGCAAGGCAACGGCGTTCCCTGTCGAGGTGAGGATGCAACCGCTGCGCTGTTGGCGGTACATATGTAGTTGTGCAGCTTCGACCACCCCGCGTTTTACGAGCCCCATCAGTTTTCATTACGCTTTGGTTGGTTTTATGGATAGAGTGGCAGGCATGCGATACGAACATGAAGTACAAGGGACTAAGAAACGTCCCGTGTATTCGAAACATCCAAGTTCCCCGGACCAACGTTGGTTCGGCCCAAATCTCTCGCTGGTTCCGCCTAGCTAGAGCTCAGATTGGTTCAGCCCAAATCGTAGGCTCGTGTGTGGCCAACAATGGACGACGTGCCTTTCTCTCCAGACGTCTGCTGAAGTCATGTGTATGGCCTCATGTCATTGGCCGCTATTTGTTGCGATGGCCAACTGTGCCTCTTGACTGCGTTTTCGACTGGTTATAATCAACAGCAGTGTTTACAGGACAGGCCAAGAGGACCTACTGTAGGCCGTTCAAGAAAAAAATGGTGATCTGAAGCACCTTTCTGATTATGTCCACGGCTCATGTGATCTACAGACGTGATATCGTTTGTACCTACTGAAGGCAATGTGTGACCTGGTGGCGTTGATCCCAGTGGTTGCCGACAATTTTAAACTTTCTACGACGTTGCCCCTCTTACCATCTTGATCTCTTGTGGCAATGGATGGGACCCCCATCCACCCACCGCCATGATTCCGTGCGAATAGTTTCGCGTTTCCACTTTCCTCCAAAGTTGCACTACTAGCCGGTCACGGATATCCTGCATGTAGCGTCTTTTTTGGATTTCAGGAATTGTACGAGTTGCGAGGGTCCAGGGCTTGGCTTTCCCTCCTAACTTTGTCGACCGTCCCGAACAGTTGTACCAAACGGCTTTCCGGGCCAATAGCCTGTGCTTTCCGCTTGAGAAAAGGCCGCTTGTTGACTGTGTTGTGCAGTTCTTGAAGAAATGTCGACTAAACAGAATTATCGGGGGACCTGTTGACAGCCTCTACAGCAGTGACGCAGCAACTGGTCAGCGCACCACCCGCACTGACCTACAGCAGTCTGAATCCCACCACAGCGATGTTATAAGTTGTGAAGGAGGTCCGGTTTCCGGAAGATGATTCGAAAACCCTCAAAAGCATAGACGGGGCGACTGCTGTGCATGCGATTTCTCGCCAAACTGCTCAGGCGGCAACTTCAGAGGCAGCAAAGGAGGGTGTTGCAGTGAGCCGACTGAATACCTGGGATAGAACCCGTGGCTAGAAGCGGGCACCAACTAGGAATGTTCATGTAGCGGAGTACCCTGTTATACCTTTTGCTCCAACCTCAATTGGCCGCGCGACTGTTTGAAAATTAGCGTTGGTCGATGCAGCGGGTTGACGTTTGTTTCTCAGGCAACGTCCGCATGGTGACGAACGCATACATTTTTCAGCATGAAGTGGCAGTCGTGAACCACACTCTGTTGACGTCTGTGAGGCGCCACCCCGCCGAGCCGGCCGACTATTTCAATATTTGCAAACATTTCCTTCGGGAAGGAAGAGGCCTTTTCAAGCAGCATCATCACAGGCGACACATGCTTCCATTCGTACCTCTGACGGCCGCACACCGCTGTGTCTTGTGTGCGCGATCTCTAGGTGGCGGATCGGATTAGAGAACGACACGGCTTTGAGCACTTCGACGAGAAGCTGTTCCCGGGCATCCGTCTTCTACACGCCGACCCCGTTGTGTTTGAAGTGGAGGGATTTTTCACGCCTCAAGAGTGCGATGCGTACATCGCGATGTCCACGTTGAAAAAATCCGGGCGGCGAAAAGGAGGCCTCGCGCCTACGGAGCTGCAGAGCGCAACCACTAGCTCGCAATGCCAGCAGCAGCGGACGTCAACCACCTGGTTTCACCATTACGCGTCGGCCCCAGAGCTGGTGGCGAAGGCATCGTTGCTCTTGGGTGTAGACGACTACTCCAAGTGGGAAGAGCCTCAGACTGTTCGATACCGACCAGGCGAGAGATTCAATTGGCACCTGGATGCGCTCCCTCCCAGCGAATGCGGAGCGAGCAAGGGGGGTCAACGAACAGCTACGGTCCTTGTGAGTGCGTACGTAGCACGAAGTATCGCTATGTCGCCACGCTCCTCTTCCTCGGCATATGGAGACCCAAGTTCAAGCCGCCGGCTTGGTTTTGATGGTATCGTCTCTGAGCTAGACACCTCCACTATTCGAAGGTCGCGGGTCTTCCTGTGTTTTCCACCTAGCCAACAGTAGTTTTGAGAGATGGCGACTGGCAAGGGCATGACTCGTCCGAATTGGGTGCTTGGATTGGGATCGAAATCTGCCGGTATATCCACTGGGAGAATATGTTTTTGACGATATTAACATGGCGGGTCTGACGTCTACATCTAATGCATTCTCTTTCGTGTTTTTTCGTGTTTTTCAAGGTAAGGAACCGAGTTTCCATATTCACAAGCTTACCCATGGTCAGGAATACACTGACATTAAATACTCAGGGAAAGTTCACGGCTCGCGAAAACTACTGTAGTACAACCAAACAAACTCGAGACAGGACCGGAACGAGCTCTAAAAGGACAATC